TCCCAGCTATTCAGGAAGCCTTGGTAAAAAAATCTCCATTCAAGAACAGCCCCAGGCAAAAACATGAGACCCTATCCAAAAACTAACTAAAGCAAAAATGGACAGGGTGTGTGACTCAAGTGATAGAGCACCTGCCAGGAAGCATGAGGCCCTGAATTCAAACCCAGTACCACCCAAAAAATTTGTATTCATTGATCAGTACAAAAAAATTGGAATTCACACAGTACATAATTGCAAATACTGATAATATTATAATTTATGCCTTTTAATGTGTGTCAGCATATATAACTTTTAAGGAAGTTTAAAATGGAGTTGAATATTTACGAATTAATGTCTGACCATATTTATAGATGCTTACTATATAACCATTTATGCTCTTCCTTTGTTTTGTGTGATTTCTTTAATGAGTTTTATTTCATTTACTACTGCTGTTTTATTGTTATTGTTGGGTTGTTCATGTTCAAATCTCTTTAAATTTAGGGTTTTCTAGTACTGAAGTTTGAAATTGATTTAACAATCACAGAAAGCATTTCATACTTACTTAAATGAATAAATTCTCATTTACAAGTCATAATTTGATTTTGAAATTTCCAAGGAGTTTTATTCACACAAATTCAAGTAAATGGAAGTTACTACTTATAAAATATTCAACTCACTGTATATCATAACAGAGATTTGGGACTTCTGCCATCCTTAAAAAAAAATGTTTTCTGAAAATTCAAAAAGTTTTCAAAATCTGCCCCACACTAGAATTAGAAAAATGAAATTAGAGTTTTAACTAACTTTCAACTGGTTGTTAGTTGAAGGTCCGTTTTAACAACCACAATTACTACAAATTCATACTTCAAAAGTCTAAGTTAGGTCTGAGGAGCAGAGTGTGGGAAATTTTGATTAACCTTATAAAATTATTTTAATCCAGGTATACAGAAGATAGTTTTGAGCACCAGGTGAATTTTTAGAACATATTTTATTCACTATGGTGCTCTTTTCTCTAGTCTCTGGCATATAATAAATACTTATAAATATTTACGTAAAGGGAAAGAACTGACTTTCTAAGCTGACAGTCATGAGACTGACTTTGAGTGATGCTTCTTGTTCTTTAAATTTAGACGAAGTGAATAAAACAATAGCTCCAAGTGCACAGATGCACATTAGAAGGTGATGTGTACTTTTGCAGCATCACAATTAGATAAACAAGGAGTTTGTCAGAGCATAATACATATGAATATACCAATCACAAAACCAGACTCTGTCTTCGCTTTTAACCTCTGTACTTAGCACAGCAACTTTTTGCAGCCAGACCTGCTGAGCCTGGTAAAAGTCAATTGTTGAGAAGTAAACTCTGAGGAGGTTCTAATTTGAACAATTTAGCAGAGGACTGAACCTGAAAAAAATAGTATGATAAGTAGCCAGTAGAGAAGGCAACCTATCTAGGAGCAATGAAGAAGGAGGCCTGGATAAATATCTACAAAGAACTATACCCTACTTCCCTTTTTCAATGTGGACTAGAATTAAGAAGTACATTTTCAGTGTACTTCTTAACTCTATTCCACTATTTCTCCCTCTCTGCTAACTGTTCCTTCTAAATGTCCTTTGTAGAGATTTAATCCAAATTCCAAAGATGCTAACTTATTTGAGACATCCAAACTCTTTGGCTAGTACAAGATTCAACAAATGAGACTCTTACTAGTTTTACCCTAAGGATTGATGTGACTAAATTAAGAAAGTTAAGAAAGACAGTGGACTAACACCACAAAAGAATTCTTCAATCTAGACAAATTCATGACAAGATCTGTGAAACTTCCCCCTATGAAAACAAACACTATAATGTGCCTCTAACTTCACGTAACACTTTCCAGTGGCCATCACTCAAGTAGAATGAATGTGGTGGGGAATTTGGGGGGGAGTAAACACATTTAAGTAGGATAACTTTCCCAAATGTCTTTAAAGTTTTATAGGTGATTCCAAGACAAATTCAAAGTAAATTTATTTTATCAACTTACCACTTTCAAAAAGAATTTAAGGCAAGTCCCAGTGAAAACTTAGGTGTGAATAAACCAGAACATTTAAGAAGCCAGAAATAGAAGATAAAAGTTACACAGAGATGCGAGAGGAAAAGAGCCCTTAAGCTGATAGTACACGGAACACAAAACATTTAAACTCTGCTGACACAATAGAATACAAAACTAGATGGAGAATCAGGCAACAGAAGACAAAACATAACAGCTTTTATTCCTCTCAATTTCTATCTAAACAGAATATGCCACCTCTTCAGGACCTGCAAATATGTGTGACAAGCCAGAGCCAGTGGTTCACGCCTATAATCTTAGCTACTCAGGAGAGAGATTAGGAGGATCTCAGTACAAAGCCAGCCAGGGCAAATAGTTTGAAAGACCCTATCTCGAAAATACCCAACACAAAAAAACGTGGAGGAATGGCACTAGTCGTAGAGTACCTGCTTAGCAAGCATGAGGCCCTGAGTTCAAATGTGTGTGTATGTACCACCAAATGTGTGTGTATGTGACAGGAAAAAAAAAATGAACTCAGAATTAGATTGCCAATTGAGTATCATGCATTAGATGGTTTATACTCATTATCATATTTAATTATGGTCACAACTCTGTCAAGCAGGTGTTATAAACTTAATTTTAAAAAAGAAGAAACTGAATCTGAAAGAAATGAGCAATCTCACCAAACACACAGCTAGTAAGTAATAGTGTGAAGATTTCAACTCATTCCCAACTCCTTAACTCATACAACGAACTCAAAGAAATGGGAAACTCCATCTCTATGGCATCACTGTCTTCCAACTTAAGCATGCCAACACATGCACATATGTGCACGTGAACACATACACACACATACACACACATAGACACACAGTTTTTTCTTTAGGGAAAAATGAAAGAAATAGCGACTCCAAGTTCAGTATTTTTGTTTCAACTGTACAGTAACAGTATCCCCCATTTATGTGAAGCACAAAACGCCTTCTTGTATCTTATTGTAGCTATGTCTTAAAAGAGAGATGGATATATCTAATTTGTTACTTGATGTAATGCTCTTTATTTCTATGGGGTCATTTGAAAATTATGCTGAGATTACAATAGTAAAGTAACTTTCTTCAGGGAGAAGTAAATTATATGCAGAGGCAAATAAACTGGGATATTTTTCTCCTATACAACCCACAAATAAAGTGACTCCCAAGTCAGCAGTGTCCAAACTCAGTCTGGCACAACTTGCCAAAGAATCCACTGTGATGATTTAGATGGCAGAAGGAATCAGTGACCCAGACAGTTGATTCCACGAGAGGAGTCAAATATAAGGTATCAGCACAGTGTAATAAAAAAAAACAAAAAACCTTCCAGTCCTCAAAGGCAGAACTCAGACTAAGCAAGTTATGTTTGATTGGTCTTAAGCCCTAACAGAATCCTGGCAGAAGTCCAGTAATCTAGACCAACTCTGAAAGTTAAAGGTAAGAAAGAATTTACAGATGAGTGTCCAAGGTCTGGTATCAGAGGAAGGGTCACTGAAAGTGGAGGCAACAGGGAGCAGAGTGAGCAGGGTCTGGCAATTGGCACTCCATTTGGGGCTGACTTATGACTGCTTTCAGCAATGTGGAAGCTCTTATTCTACAACACAGAAACACAGATGGGTGAAGTGACTTGCACAAGAGCCAACCTATGGCAAATTCATGACCAAAATTCAGTTTCACAGATTTTCTTCTAAAATACCCTCTATCCATTACTGTAGGTGACTGCATAAAATGAAGAACACAAGAACAAAAAACTGTGGCTCTTGAACTTCACTCTATTATTGACCCCTCCATATTATATCATGGTCAGTCTGACCAATAACATCACATGGCAGTCTTATAGAAGTAAGATCCCTGTAGCTCTTAATATTTAAAATTCTAATAATTGTAAGTTCTTTTGAGTACTATTTAATTTTAAATTTCTTAAGGGGCTAAATATATATGAATTGCCTTGTGAGTAATTCACTATTACATTTAGTCATATTGAATGGCATACCTAGGTATAGTTAAAAAAAAAGACGATCCAAAAGGATCATTATTTTACTATAAATTGCACTGCATAATTCCCCTTTCTTCCATCACAAGCATTTATACTGGCAGAGGAAGTCAACATAAAAATTAAAATCTACATATGACACCTAAAATAGCAAGACAGAAGTGGAATTGAATGTCTTTGACCTGTTATATATTGAGAAACTTATGAAAATGACATAAAATTATATTCAGTTGAAATTGAATAGCACTTGTCACAAGCTATTGTTTAGCATTTCCTCAAGTTTTAATTTAACAACCAAGTAGGCTGTCAAAACAGTAGCACTTTAGAAGTATATTATGCACTTTTCAGTTCAGAAAATTAATCTGCACTTTAAAGTATGCTTGCTGGTATGCTTTCCTTTCTCTATTTTCAGCACTTATCAAAATATTTAGTATTAATACTATGCATAGGAAGCATAACTATTCCAACTAAGAGCACTTGTGATATTTGACATTGATCCTGTTCCAGGATCAATATTTTTACTCATTATAACTAAGATGTATACCAGAGATGGCAATCTAAATTGGGTTCAAATTCCCACAAAAGGTTGCTTATCTTTTAGTTGTACCACCTTTCATTAATTATGTCCTATTAATTGTTACATCACATCATATCTGTGCACAGTATGATGCTACAGAACATAACACAGGAAAAGAGAAGCAATACCAAAGTTGTAGCATAACATTTTAATGAGACAGCATTTGGGTTGAGTCTCAATGCCAGCAGTTAATTCAGAGAGCAAGTATTTGAGTTAAAAATTTTGACATGTTTAGCAAACCAAATATTCATTGAGGTAGACGAAGTAGAAGCATTGTAAGAATTCCTGTGTGACACTGACTACCCATGCAATTCTGTGAGCAAGAAATATACTTTATTTCAGATTGAAGTACACAGTGCACTGGTAGTATGAGACTCTTTACTTTTTCCCTTCAGGTCTTAAAGGGTTTTCCAGAATGCTTACAAGCTGACATCTGCCTACATCTGAACCAGACTTTGCTGCAAAACTGCAAAGCCTTTCGGGGGGCAAGTAAAGGTTGCCTTAGAGCTTTGGCAATGAAATTCAAGACCACCCATGCCCCTCCAGGAGACACTCTTGTTCACTGTGGGGATGTCCTCACAGCACTATACTTCTTATCCAGAGGCTCCATTGAAATCCTCAAAGATGACATTGTGGTAGCTATTCTGGGTGAGTGTTTTACAACTGAATGGGGGCAACACAGAAATCTGAAATAACTGATTAAAGGACTGATCTAGTTATTTTTAAAGACTATTGAATACTGGTGGGTAATTTGAAAACTTTATTTAAATTCAAATCAAATTAACCTTGCAGAAAATATCTTTTCTTGACTAGCTTTCATTTTCTTTGATATGTAAATGTTTCCATGAGTCTCTTAAATATTTTCCCAAAGGTGACAAGACACACAATTTAGTTTCTAATCCAATGATCAATTAAAGAATGAGACATATGCTAAGTCACTGCAAAGCCACACAACAAAGTTAGGTTTTCACTAGATTTGGCTGATCTTTAAATCTGCCTGTCCTAACTTCTACAGAAAGGTATAATGCAATCTTTCTTGCATTATAAAATAGTAATTATAGAGTGTTGCTAAGCTATCTCTCTGGCTTACTTCTTGTTCATTTTCAGTCATGGAAACTAATTAAAATATAGTCCCATGCTAATTTACTTCAGAGCTTTTTATAAGTAATATCTATAGTGAGCTATCAACACAAAGTAATTTAAGTTATTCCCCTTTTCTGTTCCTATTTCAGGTCCCTACTTCAGGTGTAACTCAGCACTCAGAATCCTCACAATTTAGGATTTTTTCATTCTGTTTTTGAAAGGCTGATGTAAACTACAGTTAATGTCTTCACCCCTACGTCAATTTTTCTTATATAATTAAGATATGGTATTTGACTTCTCCCCCATTAAATTCTCATTTAAAATAAGAGTATTAGAGCATTTTTGACTCATTGGAAAGTTGTTGTTTAAAACATCTTGACAGCTCCCAAAATGAAGCATGCATGTGACTATTTAAAAAAGTAAAAACTAAAATAACACACAGGGAATTATTCCTAAAAGAGGTTTCAACATAGATATAAGAAAGTTCATTTTACACTACCATTAATGATCTTTAAAAGTAATAGATGGGGGCATGGTTCAGGTGGTACAGCACTTGTCTAGCAAACACAAGGCCTTGAGTTCAAACCCTAGCCCTGCCAAAAAAAAGTAATATAACAAAGTAGTTTATCAGTATTTTTTGAGTACATATGGCACATAAGTAACTGGATGTTCAGCAAAAGAAAAAATGGCCATGACATTTAGGCAAAATTGGGAAGAAATTAGATATATCAGGTATGTAAGAACATTGACTCTGGAGTCAGAATGCATAGAATTTAATCCTTGCTACTCCTTTCCTCCACTTCACCCAACCAAGAAGATGACCTTGGACTAATCAGTTTACCTCTTTAATGTGTTCATAACATGTGGAAAATATTTAGTAATTTCTTTGTGAAGTTATTTGGGGGATGAAATGAGAATGCACCTAAGTATCTGACACTGTGGCTACCACCTATTTAGTCCTCAAAAAATATTTGTTACTATCATTCTTATTCCCATCATTGAATAAGACTTTGTGGATAGGCAAGTGGCTAGGCAGAGGTGATGGGGGGCCCATCAGAAGCAAGATATCAAAATGATCCCAGGATTTACATAAGAGCAATGAGGACAAACTTTCAGAACAAAGGCCATACAACAAAAAGCATGACTACATATGTTGAGGAAATACAACTAATATTTTGAATAAATGGACAAATTTACTAAGAGCAAATCCAAAAAATGGCTACTAAAGGAAGCAAGACATATTCAAATTGTTCCCCCAAGTTTCTAAGTATTGAAGTATGGTGAAGCTTACAACTCTACCATAAGCAATTAGTTGGCATCACCTCAAGAGATGATCCTGATACAGAAAGAATATGAATCAGACTCACTGCAGCCTGCCATATTCCTGGATTGACAAAGTCAGAGCATTACATACTTTGAAGTATCTTTAAACTACTGTACGGCAAAGTCTTTTGCTAGCAATGAAGGGTGTACCAAAGTGAAGACATATTTGCTGCATTATAGTTGCTAGTAAAAGATCTAAAACAAGGAAATGAGATTATATCAGGACCAGCAACCTTTAGAGGCAAAATCGCATTCAGCAAACGTGGCCTAGACCAGGTGCTTTAATTGTGCTGTCCAAGTGTCTGTTGGTCATGGAGTCTGACATTTGAAATCTTTGCTTCAGGAATTTATTCATTGGTTGGTGCTCACTTTCTACTTTTTGAAGGAAAATATTAAATTTGGCTTCTCTTTTTCTCTCTTTTTTCTATTTTTTCATTTCTTTCTTTTTCCTTTTTTCTTTTTAGGAAAAAATGACATATTTGGAGAAATGGTTCACCTCTATGCCAAACCTGGCAAGTCAAACGCAGATGTAAGAGCTCTCACATACTGTGACTTGCATAAGATTCAACGAGAAGACTTGTTAGAGGTTTTGGATATGTATCCCGAGTTTTCCGATCACTTTCTAACAAACCTAGAGTTGACTTTCAACCTAAGGCATGAGAGTGCAAAGGTATATGTTAACTGTTTGCTTATTTTATTTTATTATTGAATTGCACAAATACTTCTGAAAAATCAAGCAAAATATTGCAGCAAAAGTACACCAAATATTTAAAAAGAAAGGCCACATGAAGGTTAAAATTTATAAGTTGTAGGGAAAAAAATTCAGTCCAATTACTTTCAAATATGTTGAATAATTTTTATCAAGTTGTCTAAGTTTGACCTTGTAGGACCCTTAGGAGATACACTTGACTTAGAATTGTCTTGGTTTATATTGTACCAATTATTTGTAGAACATGGGTGATTTAAAGCTATTGAAAAATCTTTTAAAAGATTTCATCTTATACAGAGGATAAAATATTCTCTTAGCTATTATTTATACTACATATTGGTTATTACTGACTTCTTAACAATAATGAAATGATTAATCTCATTCAAGTCTGGACCATATTTAACACAATTCTGAAATCACAAAAGTATAAATTAATCAAGTTTTATAATACAGTCAAAATTAGTTCTGCAGAGTGAATAATATATAGTCTAATAAAAATAATAATTTAAATAATTCTGGTCATCAGTTAGCCTAGAATGAATTTCAGAGTTTAACTTTTATGTCCCTTTCTCCCCCTGTGAAAATGTGTCTTTATGGAGATACTACTGTTCTATGGAGCTAGAACTTACATTGTAGCCCAGTTTATTGCTGGGTTATTCCCCCTACTTCCCTTTCCTTCAAAGCCCAGAAACTCCTTTCCAATTCTAAATATCTTTTATCAGAAATCACATATTGAGCATTTGATTCTTGCCAGTGTATTTTTATGTTAGCTATTATATTCTCTGGAAAAAATATCCTTAAGTCAATATTTAGGTAAATGGTTTTAGATTTAATTCTCCCTAGAATTATAGTCATTCCCAGGTACTCTGAGGGATTTGAGGAAAAACACCAACTTCTAAGATTGCCAAGGCACCATTCAATGTACTGAGGTGCCAGTTCGGATAATTGCTTCTTTTCAAAACACCAAAAAAGCTAAAAAAAATTTAGGTGGCAAACAGTTCAAGTTATTATGAGAATATGTTTTATAATGGTTTTAAGTCAATGCCTTATCACAATCTCACTCAAATCTCACCAACCTCATTCTGGTTTTGCCTTGAAAAACAAGTATTTACCACAAGTAATCCCTTTATATAAAAGTTCAGGCAGCACTTGAATAAATAAGAAGTGCCCATTTTTATTTATAAGAATATTATACAGAATGAAGCAGAGAGAGAGATGGAGCTAGGAAAAAGTATAATAAATGGCTCTAAATATAATATTCATTGAATTTAATTGTGTACTTATTGTGAAATTTAACCTGTGATTATTACCATGTAATTTCAACAACATAGCTGACTGTAATTGGTTATACAATTTTCTCTGCAGTAATACATATTCTGTAAAGTTTTATACACTATCAATATTATTTATTTGAACTTTGCCAAATACAAAAAACACATTCCTTATAAAGAAATCTTTTGTCTGTAAACGCTGACACTATCCCAAACATTTCTAGCAAACACCTCTACAGCTAAGATTTTCCAATCAGATGGTGAAATTACCTTCTACTCATCCACTCAGTATATTTTATAATTTAGAGAATCCATTAAGTAAAGTATTGTATTTATTTGCATGAAATGTAGTAATTAAGGCTCAAAGCAGTTGAAGAAATATGACATAGTAAAGTTTACTGACAGCACATTATGTTCAAGTTGAGTAATCATCCATTTTATCTTCATGTTCATTAACAAAGGCTGATCTTTTACTACGATCACAGTCCATGAATGATTCTGAAGGAGACAACTGTAAGCTACAAAGGAGGAGATTGTCCTTTGAAAGTGAAGGAGAGAAAGGTAATTTACTCCATTCCCAAAGTTTAAACCTAGAGCATATAGTTATTAGTTCTCTCCCTTAAATGCTCATTGTCATTCTGATTTCAAGAGCAAGTCACATTCGGCCTTTAAATTTCATTCAAGCAAATCCTTTGCTTTTCCTTAATAGCTAGTCACATGGTTTCTGTTTTTTATTGATAGCTTTTATCTGTGTCATTCAACAAAGTCATTTAGTATTTACAAAGACATTACCAATAAAGTAGACTGATGTAAAATGGAGGCCAATTAATATAGTGAATAACGATGCCTCGAAGTTCAAAGCAGAGGAATCTGGAAGGAGGACTTGCTTTTCATTTCAAGCGAACGAAAGTGTCCTCTCTTCCACGTACATTGTTTTTGTGTTTTTGCTTAAATATTTCCCTAAACTAAATTTACCTCTCTGTTTTCAAAGACACAAACACATATACACATGCATATTCAAACACACATACATTATACCAAACTACTTTTTTCACTCTAAAATTATATATCTTTTATCTTAGGCAATCTCCAAAGAAATATTTAGCATGTACTGTTCCTGATATTCTTAGATGCATAAGGTCTTTCTCTTACGAATGCCCACGGCACTTTCCTCTTGTGATATTTTCAAAATCTGCCCTGTACAGTGGTTATTGGTATATTTGTCCTTTTTCTCTATCATATTCTAAATTCCCTTAGCAAAGAATGTTTTATAAATATTTATTGAGTTGCACTAGTTTCTGAAGCCTTTGGTCAATTGCAAAACAATAAGCCATTTATAAATAGGCTATAGTTTTTTTTTCTGCAATGACCTTCTTTATTCTCTTTGTGACTTTTTCTAAAATCAGAATCACCACTATCAAGCTGTTTTTCCACAGAGTTAATCTAAAGCTCTTATCCTAAAGTTAATCTCTTATTTTTATCTTACTGGAAATGAAGAACAGCTTGACAATGTGGTCGATATAATAATGACCACCATACACTTTAAGATTTATTAAATCTCTTTTCAATCTTGTTCCATTTCCTCATTTTTAAGATAAGTAATCTAAAATTTTTATCTTCTGATAAAGCCCTAAAATCATGACACAGTTCATACTGTGTTCATGCAACCAGACATTTCTATTGATTTTGAAAATTTTCCCTTTAATCGTAGACTTAGTCTATGAGACCCATTTTTTATAAAGTGTGGATAGCAAGAGATTTGTCTGCCTGTAGCTTTCCAGTTTCCTGGTGTGCCAGTGAGTTACTATAAGTTGGACAATGTGAAAAAACAATTAACTCCAGTTATCCAGATTTTTGGAGCTTAGTCCAAAATTCGTAGAATTTCCAGGTGCTGCAAAAAGAGCAAAATTTGCTGAAAGCAATTTAGTCCCTATCATCCCAATCTAAGCTTTTTAAGGAACTACTCATTCTATAGTTCTTCATATGGAATCAACATCTAAGAGAAACACACACACATGCAATTAGGTGGAAAGACAGAGAATTTGGACTAGGGGTATTTTTCAGTGATACAGTGCTTGTCTGGCATTTGCAGTGCTCCAAATTTGAGTCCCTAACACAAAGAAAGAAAGGAAAGATGTGGGGGGAGAGAGGGAAGGAAGGAAGGAAGGGAGAGAGGGAGGGAGGGAGGGAAAGAGGGAGGGAGGGAAAACTTTTTCAAAGGATTGACTAATGACAAATTATATCTGGGTATGTAAATTAAAAGCATCCCATGAGATACACTGATTATTTTAGTGCTAGTTTACTGCTGATGTGACTCAAACCTTTAAAGGAAAGATTCCAAAAGTTCTGATGACTGTACAATCAGTCAGCAGAAACATCAGTAGCCAGAGGGTAGATTATGTGGTCAGCAGTAGAGGCAGACAGAGGTTTGAGTCCTGCATGGTATGTAACTACCTACTTCACAGGACAATAGACTCTCTGGGCTTCAGCCCTCACCCACATCCCCTTTCCAACCATTCCTACCATGTGGCATCATATTCAAGAAGGTATTTAGAAAAGAAGAGATATACAGAACCTTTGGCAAAGTGACTTACTCAGAATGAATTTGTTGGTGAAAGTGGTTTGTCCTCATGAGTTTCACATTTCTTCTCAGGAAATAAACTCACTTTCCTATAGGAGAGAGTAATCAGTTCTAGTACAAATTTGAGGGCACTTCGCATTTTTTAGGGTATCCTCAAGTACTTTCTTTTCTTCTTGAAATTCTGGTACAGAGGCACCAAAGATCTCTCCTATGTGGTTAGGGTCATTGTAAGAAGAGGTGGTACAGTTCCTGAAATGGAAGTAAGAGGTCACTGCTATAGAAAGTGATAACAAGGCTGAACATGGTGTCTCATCCCAGCTTCTATGGCAACAGAGATCTGGAGTATTATTGTGTGAGACTAGTCTGAGAAAAAAATGTTAGCAAGACTCTCTCAATAAATAATAAGTATCTGGGGTTAGATACTTGTGACCCCAGCTACATGAGAGGCTGTAGGTAGATAGATAGCAGTCCATGTCTGCTGTGGGCAAAAACATGAGACTTTATCTAAAAAAATAATGTAAAAGCAAAAAAGGGCTGGTGGTATGGCTCAAGTGAATTCAAACTCCAGAACTGCAAAAAAAAAAAAAGAGAAAAGAGAAAGAAATTTAAAAAGCAAATAATAAAAATGATGCTTCAATGACCTATTCAGTGCCCATTAAGCATTGTTAAGTTGACAAAGCAGAACTTAAGTAAATGAAGAAAACAGTAAAAAATGGTCACCATTTAAGTGGTCTTCAAAGTTGAACTGTACTTATTTCCAAATATGCTAAAATTACCTATTGGGTCATGGGGATGAGACTTCTGTTAAATTTTTATATTGAATTTATTTTGTATAATATAGATAAAGTATTAGTATAATAGTGTGTATAATGGCATATTATAAAATAATAAAATACATTATAAAAGATATAGATATTTAAGGCTTAGATGTATTAGTTTTTAGATCTCTGTGTGTATATAGATATAAATAATGTGCATTATGCACTAATGAATCCGCACACATACATACTTTTACTGACAGAGCTTATATGATCAAATATTGGGAACATTCTGTTTAATTCTCTGTGAACAGAGGATACAGTAGGAAAGTAACTACTCATGTCTAATTAGGTTGCTAAAGACCATTTGACAGTGAATAATTCAATGATGGAATATCAGGAATATCACAGGACAAAGCCAATTGCCCATTCATTTGTTAAATAGCCATTGTGCGCCCACTGCATCCCAAGTATTCTTAGTGTTTTTTTTACCATTATGTTTTAGTTTTTTGAAGTTTGTCTCTACTTTATAGACAATTATTAGTTAACAAGAGAAACAGAAATTCCTTCAAAATCATAGCTAATGTACATACATACCCTTTCCAACTTTCATTACATCTTCTTGATCATTGAACAGGAAAAACAATAATTTCCACAAAATTTTGCAGAATTCAGATTTACATTTTCATACCAAGTAGTGAACAGGAAAGAAGAGAATGCAGAAAAAGGATTAATCGGTTTTACTGCTTGGAAACTCTGCTAGCATTCTGAAAAGACATGGTGACATGCAATACCTGCTGATGTCACAAGTTTCAAGAGAAATATCCCCTGGTACTTTTTTAACTAAAGTATGAAAGTCACCTTGAGGCATTATCAAAGAGGAATAATGGGACAAAAAGTGCAAAAAATCTCCTAAAAGAACAGGGCTAGCCTTGATTCATTTGTTCCTTTTATCTCTCAGACCTCGAGAAGTATCTAACTCTCTCTTCCTCCTTCTTCTTCATATCTTTTCCCACTTCCTTTTCCAAAAACATAAAATTCAGTAGAGCAGTAAATAATTAACCTCAATGAAATGTCACCTGAAAAATGTATATGGCCAGAAACAAAATGAGTGTTCTTAGCAAAATAGGCATTGGCCTGCAAAGTGGAAGACTGCAGCCTCATCCTTCCTAATCTAGAAATATTTTTTACTCTCTTGGTTTTGCAAACTTAAAAACCAGTTCTCCTAGCTCCAAGGACTATTTCTCTTGCCAATAATCTAAGTAAAACTCACTTTTAAAGAAAAAAAGAAACTTCCAAAAAATGAAAAATGAAACAAAAATAGACAAACACAAGAGAAAAATTTAAACAGTATTAAAAGATGTGACTGTGGTGACCAAATGGGCTGGAAATCAAGGTGAAAGAATGTTGGCCATCCTATTCCCACTGGGTTTTGGTTGTTCCATACTATCTATCTATCTATCTATCTGTCTGTCTATCTGTCTATCATCTATTTCCTCAGAGTCAAAAGAGAAACTGGCATTTTCTTATTAAAATCTCAATGTTCCTGAAAATGGAACATGTCTTGAACTCAATACATGTTGCATTTTGACTGAAAAAAATAAACCTCATCACTTTGTAATATATGTTTAGTGATTTCACACTACCATTCAAAAGCCTGTAAATTTTGAAAATGTCCAAAATAAAATAACTTCTATGAAAGTAATTAAAGGGGTAAATATATGCCTTAATAAATATATTATTATGGATTAAGGGAGGACTGGTTCTAAATTTTTATTGTTAATCCTTTACATTAGTTTTATGTCTCTTTGCATTATCTTTGTCAATAACTAATAATTATCTAGCTTTTTATTACCCATGTTAGCAATAATTAAATGCCCCTTATCTGTTTTCTGAGGACCTATGGAAGTATAATTGAAAAATAAAAATTTTATCCAATTACAATGCATAATATGATATTCTAATACATTACATTTTGAAACAATTAGCACAATCAGGTCTACTACCATATCATCTAACATAGTTATTTTTTCTGTGTAGAGAGGACATTTAAAATCTTCTCTCAGAAATTTTCAAGCCATACGTTAACTATACATTTAATGCCACACATCAACTAAAGTCATCATGTTATACAATACCTCTCTAGAACTTATTTGTCCTAAGTGAAACTTTGTACCCTTTGACAGGCATCTCCCCAAATGCATCATTTCTTTAGTATTTGAGACTTTTTAATCTTGTATCTATACAGTAAAATGATTGCTTAGTCCCCTTTCATAGCATCATATGAAACTATAAAGGATCTAACACACTTGATCACATGTGAAGAAATTTATTTCAGCCTCCAACTCTGCAATGAAATGTTTTCATAAGGTATCTGAGTGAAAACTACTCAGCTTATTTCAAAATTGTCACCAGTGGGAGATATAAAACACAAATGCCAAGAACATGCTTCTCTTTGGCCAAAAGTTATGTCTCCCTGTTGGGTCTGACAAATAAAAATGGAAATCTGAGAGAAAGATGCCATAAAAGATTGAGTGAGTACAATTGTTTATTCTTAAATTTTTTGAAATGGAATGATTTTATATTATCCTCTCTAAAGCATGTGGGTCAGTCATTCCATCAGGATACTTTTATTCTATGATCCTAAATTCATTCTGAAGCTAGAGAGACACCCACAAAACAAATCACAATTGTTTTACAATTATATCCTGTAAAAAACAGGGAGATGAATTATCAGCCTATAGAAATTGAAGAATAGCTAGGTCTTTAGTCATCTGAATCAGAACATAAATTTAAAGCTTAACTAAACAGGTAAAAATTAGTCTTTGTAAAATGGTAACAAGAACGATTATGCAATCTCACTTGTAAGAAAAAGAAAAAAATGTTAAACTCCCTTACAACTCTGTCCTCACAATACTACTATTGTATAGAATATGAAGAGCACTGAGAGAAAATAGTACCTAATACTCTCTGATGTCTACCAAATAATTCAGTTTAAGTAGAAAAAGGCAGAATTGGAACAGTCCATCAAATTCTGGAAGTACCTCAAGGCTAATTATAATGCACTTCAGCTGCCCAATTTTGTGTATTACATCTACCAACATCTACACTAAGCTTAAGCAGTTTCCATTTTCAATCCACAAATAGATTGTCATTTCAACTTTCATTTTTTTGACAGAAAATGAAGCTTTAATTTACCTAGTATGGAATAGAGAAAAGTTTCATTGGGCTACATTAAACCAACTGTTCATATGGCCTGGTGATAGCTTAGTGGAACACAGAAATAAATGTGGGATTTTTGTCCTTCGACAAATTCAAGGATATCGAACATTTTCTTCTTTCATGATCTTACTTTTGCCTAGAATTTTTGCTAAAGGATTAGGTCCTATGTATGTAAAGTAATTTGCTTTATTTTACTACAGAACTAAATTTTAATAATTCTATACCCACAACATTCTGTGAATACTTGTCATGAGTTGAAATCTGCAAGCTATAATTCAATCTAACCATAATAGATTCAAGATTCTCATTCTTAAGCATTGAAAATCACACCATAAGTTAGGAAATTAAGACTGGGGATGGTGTAATAAACAGGACAGAACATTCTACCTTGTGTAAGTACTTAAAATTATACAGAGAAATCCCATGGCCTCAGCAGACAAACAGACAAATGGTTTATTAATTTGTGATGTGTATTCAATACAATCATACATGTTAGTGTTATCCATACTTAGATTAGAGGCACATTAATTAGTGGTTAGTTTATACCTAATTCTGCTAGGAAAGACTCCGCTAAAGCAAAAAAAAGAAAAGCTTTTGCAGGAAGATAAAAAGCCTGAGCTGAGTCAAATCCCACTGATGTACAAAAAGTCTTTACTTAGGAGCAGCAAACCAATGCCAGTCACTAACCAATATGAGGGTAATTTAGAAAAATGAAACTTGCTTTTTTTCACACTAACATAAAATTGGTAACTGACTTTTTGAGTAATGAAATAATGTGTTTAAAAAGTAGAGAATGTTGGTTAGATTTTCAGAGGACTTTGGAGGAGGAGACAAATTAAAGAGAAAAAGAAAGGAAGAGACTGATAAGAATGAGGTTTAGTAGTTTAAAGAGGTCTATGTCAATGATTCCAGGGAAGAATAGCTGATATGAATATTGACAACTAATTAGTTTAGCTATTGTTTGGGGACATATATGTCACACTAAGTGACCAATAATGGTTGTAATGCTTGAGACTGGAAGGGTCTGTGGTCTTCTAAGTAATAATGAAGTCACTGAGCAGGTGTAAAATCTTCGAGAAGATAAATTAAGCAATCTGCATTTGCTAGATTTCACTTTAATCAACAGAACATAAACTCTTTAATAGCAATTGCAGATGAAGCTTATTTTTAAACTCTGTCCATTTTTACCTTAGGCTACTCGCTAGATTCTTATATTTTAAATTATAATTTTTTTTTAAAAAAAGGAAAAAAATCTTTGTTCAACTTCAGTGCCATATGGGAATTTTAAGCAACAGTTGGAAGTTTCTCTGGAGTGGCCTTAAATCAGTTCATTTGGCCTTCTATAAATAACAAAGTAAGCACACCCAGGCATAAAGAAGATGGGTACACTGCCATTACAACTTCTCTAGAAAATGATATACCTCTTGGAGTTTTGTGGGTTAGTTATTAGCAGGAACCAGATGGAGAATTATACTGTCTCTACAGGACACTAATAGAAACAAGTTCTGAGATTTTTCTCTGAGATTTCCCTGTTGAAATAAGTTCTAATACAACCTTCAGGGCTAAAATTATCTGACATTTCAGTATGAAAAAGCCAATATGTACCAGTGGCTTTAATGTAATTAAGTAAAAACCTACCTCAATTACTGTATTTAAGCTTTACAGTCTTTGCAATATGCTACCCAGACAAACTGTCTGGAATGTCAAGGCTATCCCATCCATTGAACTAAAGTTGAAATTCAGCCTACATGTTTCTACTATAAAGAGGATTCCAATTTTAACCATTGCAATGTGTGAAGGACTGTCATTCATAATAGGTGTGGAAGTTAAAAACAAACAAGTTACATAGTGGTGATATTTTAGAAATGGAACATATCTTCCCTTGTCATTTTCACTTCCTTAAAGACACAGTAGAATAGACAAACTCTAAGACTAAAGCATGTATAAGTAAATTTATAAGTTAACCTTGAGTTTTTTCTGAGACATAAACTTTATTATTATAATTTTCCTCTTAATTTTCAAATCAATCATTTATTTCATTATGATATCTGATAACCTTGATTTAGAAAAAGAAAATATTCAAGCAACTACATTTGTAATTAGGAAAAGATAGTTTATGTGTATAGCTAGATAGTATATAATATGCATTTCATATTGATTATCTGCTATAAAATAACATTTCATTGACAGATTTTGACAAAGAAAATAGTGCGAATGATCCTGACGACTCTGTGGATACCATAAGACGTTATCAGAGTTCCAAGAAACACTTTGAAGAGAAAAAAAGCAGATCCTCATCTTTCATCTCCTCCATTGACGATGAACAAAAACCACTCTTCTCAGGAATAGTAGATTCTACTCCAAGAATAGGGAAAGCAACTGGGCTCCATTTTGAAGAAGCAGTATCCACCTCAGGAAGAATTCACACAGATAAAAAAAGTCACTCTTGCAAAGGTAATGGAGAAAAATGAATCAGGTTTTCTCATTGCTGCACATAAAATGACAAATTTTCACAAATAAGAGCTGCATCAACACGTTATGAACTCCTTTTCAATTCATGAAATGTTTGCATAATGCTCAGAATTTAGACCATCTACAAAGTGTTTGCATAATTCTGGAATAAGTGGTAATTATTCTCAAACAATGTCAACATGAGAGATTTTTGTGGCTAACCAAACAATTTAACACCCGGTAGAAGTGTGGCAAAACCTATTGAAGCAATTTAAGCCCATGGAAGGAAAGGATCAATGGCTATTCTAAGAGAGCTAACCACCTGATTCTTTATATGTAGCTTCTAAACCTATTCCAACCCAATAGCTCAGTGCAATCACGCTAAAATATATGCCCAAAAGAATTCTATTTTACTGTAATTACAAAAAAGAGAGAAGAAATATTCTGAAAGTGTACTCTTGATGACTCTTGTTTAAGATAGCCACTAAAAAGAATACCTAAATATATAGGCTATATTGTTGAAAATACACAAGAGATAAGAGATAAGCTTGATTAATATATGCAGATTCTACAGCAACAGATGGTAAACTAAGGAAAATTTGAAATGATTACATGGAACAGCAATTAATTTAGCATAACAGAATCTAGATCAGCATATCTAGCTCAATCTAGACATTAAGTGCTCCCCGTAACAGCTGTGGATCAGACTAATTGTGTTCCAAGACCAGCTCTGTCACTTGCCCCCTTTATGACTTTGGATAAGTGATTTAGTAAAACCCACTAAGACTCACTTTGTGCATTTTTTTATATTAAAATATCCATATTTATTTATGATACAATAGAAATTACATCCTTTAAAACTGTTTCTAAGAATGTATATAGACGTTTCAGTAGGCAATCAACTATTCTACTTATGATTGAACTGGAACACACAGTTATTCATTCATTCATAAAATGAACATTTACTATGTGACATTTACTATGTGCATTTTCTATGTGACAGAAACAGCTGGAGACCCCTTTTGTGTACACATGGAAGGAACATGAGCTACTCTCCTAATTTTTGTCTGATTGCTAAGAGAGTTTATTTAAGAATATAATCCTATAATATTGTTCCTCCATCTGACAAGTTTTTTCTCTTCCCCTCCTCAGCTTTGTCAATGCACAATTAACAAATACACATATATATAATTTAACAAAATATACATATACTTATATATATATTGTATATATACTTTAAAAACCAAGTGTCTGATAGAAAATTTTAGATATCAGCTCTTAAATATGGAAGCAGTTTTATGGTTTCTCAAGACTATTTTAGCGGAAGATGAGCAAAAATATTCAAACAACAGCCTTAAATGGTAACTATTCAAAAACTCCTTGTTTTATAGCTGGAGAAGCTGAGGACCAGAAGTTCTGTTCTTGAACCACAACCCAAGGTTTAGTTACAGGCTCTACAACTCCATTCCATTTCCTGCTCTAGAGAGGGCAGCAGGTGGTGCTCTGAGGAAGTCTGCCAGTTTGTGCATTTTTAAATCAGAATAATATTATACAAACAACTAGTTGGTTGTGATTATTAATAAGATAATGTATAAGTTATTTTCTCTGAAATGAAATCCCACCTCTATTTAGTATTTCCTCATAGGTTATATTTTCCAATCATTAGTTATTTAATATGTCCTTGCATATATAAAAATGTAAGGATTAAAAAAGATCTAGGAAACCATAAAGAAAAGTCCCCAAAAATAAAAGAACTATAAGATGTTTTAGGTTGGTAGGATAGCAAACTTATGGTACATAGTAAGTAAATATTACCTATTATCACCACCATTATTCCAAAATATCGTATCTGATAACAAGATTTTATTGAGTCTAGTATGCTTAGGCTTCATAGTTTTCCAGAGTTACTTTCCCTGTCATGTCAAGTCAGCATTTGCCATGACCTCACATGGAAATAAGCTAAGAATATATGCAAATGTCCTCTGGACAATCTAAAATCTTGATGAAGTGCATGAAAATAGTACCTCATTTATCAAAGTGGAAGAATGGAATATTAGATGTGATTATCAGATGTCCCATTTTAGTTATTTATGAAAATGGATTCTGGGAAGTGCTAATAATAGAATCAGGTTGTAGCATGGAAGTCAAAAACTCTATAGAGCTTGCTGAACAATCTCTACTATACCCAAAATTCAGCATAATATGCACCTGCCAAAAGGGGGCGGGTTGTAAAAAAATGTTTTCTTCATGAATTTCAGCATTTCAAGTCATTAAATATATATTATGGGGAATTTGTCGGACTTCATAATGATTTTCCCTGACAGTGAATTCAAATTCCCTTCATCTTTCGTATTTCTTTGCTAGTTATTCCAGCCTTTAATTAGCTATTCCACATGTCCTCCAAAATAGTATTTTTAAATTATTTTAATACCTCCAAATTTCTAATTTTCACAAGTTTAAGATGTAATCCTCATAAGATAATGAATGATTATCTTGTGTAACTAAATATACATGTCAACTGATAAACATTTATTTTTTATAGCTTCTATCAGATTGACACACATTTATCATGATTAATTAACATGACTAACCAACAGAAAATTTACAAACTTATATTGATTGAAAATTTCATTCCTTAATTATTATTAAGATGAAATGGTCAAGAACGTTTAATACTATATAAAGTGTAGTTATAACTGCTGTAGTTTGAACTACTAAATCCACACAAAGCTTCACTATCAAGAGGAATATTTACTCCCTCATATTTCTGGCATTTATAATACTGAATTTAAAAGAGTAGCATGCTTAAGCAAAACTAAAAAAAAAATTTTTAATGGACTGTAATCCTACCAACAGTGAGGTCAAAAGTTGACACTAGGAAAATTGTGTACCCAGAGAAAAGTGCAAGTTTACTTTCTGTTCATCTATTTGCAGAAATGTCTTGCAACTATAGCAACATTTTCCAAGGCAACCAAGTGCAGATTCCTTCGGCTATATTTAGAAAGTGTTGATGAGGATGCTCCTTTGATTAAGACCACTAACTAGGATTTCCCCTTTGAACCCTTCATTTCTTTATAATGCTGTTAACACAAGTTAATCACATATTTCTGTATTTTAGCAAAAGTAAATTATAATCAAGGAAGCCTCTGTTGTGCAGAATATGTTTCATTAATTTCTGTTAAGATAATCATTTTTTTCTTGAACACTGAAGAAATAACACTGTTCTCCATAATTTATTTCATATAATTCACCATTTTCACTTAAAATCAATGTATTATATATAATTTGAAAACAAGACCACTATTAAGCATATGCAGAAAGAATGTAAGCCTTCTTGGCACAAAACCCATGAGGACAATATGTAATGTTAATCCTATCAGTTCTTGTGCTCTCTAAACAAATGTTCATACATGAGCTGGCTATCAGGAGACAAGTTATGGACAAAATTGGCATCACCAAACCACTTGTACATGTTCTAAAGGCTTATTTGGCATTGCTAGTCCAAAGCTGAAAACCTAGTTTACTAAGATACTACATTATTGTTTTGCATTTTAAATTGATTCAAACATCTATGAACAACAAATCATACTTCTTAGTGAAAATCTGTTGCTAATTTATTTAAAACTCTGGCAGTATCATTTCTCCACTTGTATTTTTCATTTACATTTTGTCATGGTTGATAAAACATCAAATGAAATGATTAGCTGTCACTTTAGAAAACAAAACTAAACAACAGGATCTTGTAGGGTAAGGAAGCTATAATCAGGAGTCTTTCTGGACTTCACAGTAAGATCTTTGAGGCTTATTAGCATTTCTGAAGAACAAGGAACCCTGACCTCATAAATTTCTCATACTATCTTTGAATTTGTTAATTTCTTCATCATAGCCTCTACTACTGAGGCAGAAATTATATGCACTTCATTAGAGAAATTTCTATGTATTCAATGATAAAAGAAAAAAATGAAGAAATAATAAAGAATTTTTCGACTTCTACTTAGAGAAAGGGGGAGCATTTGAACTCCCTGGCTGTACTTTTAGAGAAACTGTAGGAAGTCTTAGAGTTCAGTTCCCTATTTCTAGAATCACTGCTAATCTTGCCCATTTCAGTTGCTTTCTATCCACTTTTTTAAATAGTTGAGGCTGTAAATTCCATAACTTTATGTAATAACTTTTCTCAAGGTTTAATCATAGCTACTTGTCAAGATTTTTTTAAATCTTTCTATCAAACCAAAGTCATTTTCTGTAATTCAAATCTAATTCCATCTGAAAGTAAAGACCAGCTGGAAGTAATCCTTCCTTCTACAGCCCTCCCCTGAAGAAAAAAAGTTTCTCCAACTCCAGTCATATTTTTATGGGTCTTATTTTCCAATCCTTTAGTCATTTTGTAGAGGTTAAGAAAGCATAGCAAAAGTATCAGAGGTATGTGACAAAAATGATGGAGAATGTATCTTGAAAGTACAGGTTTTAGGAAAAACAGTAAATTAAAAGAAGTTGAGAAAATGGATTTGTATCAATAATTATCACAACCTTGCTGACCTGAATTCTTCAAGTTTACAGCAGACACTCAGAGCATTGAAAAAATAGGCTTGCAGAATAGCACATCATGACACCCAGATGTAATATGTGTGTTGGGGCATGATGAAAGGGAGGTGGAAGTAGGAAGCTGGACTAGAGGAGCAGACACCTAAGGTTCTAGCCCTCCCCAAGGATTTAGAGCTGCAGGTGCAAAGACAGAATGAAATCTGTCTCTTCAGGAGCTTGGCTTACATCAAGGGAGGGTTGCTCTTCCCTACTCTGCCTCTTAAACAATCCCACACCCAAGCTTTCATCATTCCAAAGTCCCCATACACCATGACACCAATAGTATAGAAGGGACTCCTCTAGAAAGGGGAGGAGATCATCTCCCTCTCTCTGGAGTAGGTACATTAGGAACACTTCCATTAAAACACCATTTCTGCATGAAGTTGGTTCAGAGACATCCATCTATTCATGTCTTCATGCCCTGATCTGTTAGGCTCAGACCCAATAGGGAGTAGAAGCACTGTAGGAGCTGAGACCCAAGGTGTTCTCTTCTTTCAGTCCCAAACTCTGGCCTCTCTTGATTAATAATAGCCTTCCCCCAACCACCATTACCATTCAACATGGATAGATGGGGGTTGAGAGAGAGAGAATTAAAATACAGTCATGTGTCACTTAATAACATGCTACATCTTGAGAACTGTCATTAGGCATCACAGTACAGACCTCATAGTATGCTTAATGCAAGCCAAGTTGGCTACAATGCCGCTAGGCAATACAGTTTTATGGGGCCATTGCTGTGTATGTAGTCTATGCTGTGTATGTTGTTATGGAGTGCACGGCTGTAATTGATTAGGCCCACAATTATGTTTTAATTCGAAGACTTTCTCCCTTGACTTCTGTGCCCTATGCTCCTATTCTGGATACCCTACCTTGCATCTTGAATGCATTATGACTATTCAGCCATTATCCAGAAAGCAATGGAGTGATCTCCACGTTGCTGAGAGAAAATAACTGCCAATGTAGAATTCAACATTCATCAAAAGTATTCTTCAAAAGTGAAGATAAAATATGATACACTTCCACAGAAACAAAAGCCAAGAGAATTTGTTGTCAGCAAGCCTACACCAATATATAAAACAAAAGGTGTACCTTACAAGAAGAAAACAGAAAGCATAGGGTTTTACAAAAGAAATAAGAACATAAAAACTGTCAAAATATAAGTAAATTTTATATTTAAAGCAATAATAGAGTCAGGCATGGTAGTATATGCCTATAATCCCAGCACTAAGAAAGCTAAGGCAGCAGGATAAGAGTTACAGGTTATCAGTGTGGGCTACATAGCAAGATCCTGTCTAAAAACCCAACAAAAACCTACCAATAATAATAATAATATTAATAATAATAACAATGATGACTTGGTTTTTCAAAAGTAGACATAAATGCATGGCAACTGTAGCAATAAGAATAAAGGGATGAATAGAATTAATGGTTTCTGTAATAAAAAAAAAAGAAAAAATAGGCTTGACCAGGTAAGAAGTTTGTTTTCAAGAATAGTACCCTAAAAATAACCATAATAAAAGAACACAAGAAAATACAGATATTAAAAATGTGGTTATAATAAAAGACAGTACAGAAAGGGCTACAAGAAGTGTAAAGACATGGAACAGTAGCCTTTCATCAATGGTCTTTTAAGATTTTTTCCACCTTCAATGTGTTATGGCTCTTTGACACTATAATTTGAGTTGTGCTGGCCTAAGGGAATCCCTATGAAGACTGGCACTTCAGAAAACCTGTTTCCTCCTTGGGTTCACTCTGAGTCATAAAGCATGCAAATTATAGTATAAGAAAGAGCCCTAAAAATCTCAAATTCTAGCTGAAGCAGTACAGACAAAATATGCTGTTTCTTCCCAAATTCAAAAGCACAAAATCATTGTTATCTTATCAGTTTGGGTTCACCTCCTCTTAGCACAAACAGAAAGAAAAAAAAATCATAATCAAAACTCATGACCTACTATAACATTTTGCATCCTATGAAAATGGGTGTGGAAGGTAAGTCACATTCCACAGTGGGACTCTACCATTCATTGGTGGTGGCCTCCGGTCTTGTTCCTGTACATGTGCTTGGTTCTATCTCCTGAGTTACAACCAAAGATCTTTCCAACTTGTCTTGTGGCATCTATGTGTTATTGAGGCAAAAGAGCACACAAGGAAACTGACATCTATTTTCTCTTTCCCACAGATATCACTGATACGACGAGCTGGGATAGAGAACATGACAGAGCTCAGCCCGAAGAGTGTAGTCCCTCAGTACTTCAGCGAGCTGCTTGGGGGATCTCAGAAACTGAAAGTGACCTCACCTATGGGGAGGTAGAGCAAAGACTGGATTTGCTTCAGGAACAACTTAACAGGTATCAGCAGTCAGGGCAAAGGGAGAATATAATCCAAGTTTTGTGCAAATTCCTGCTGCTATCATCCCCAATTTTCCATACACATTTATTTAAAAATAAGTCTAAATGTTTACAGAATTATCGATTTGTGTTGCAAGGAACATTTATTTAGAACACTTCATACTTCTGTCTTTATCTCATAATTAATAATCAGCACTGACTACATTAGAAAATTCCTTTTTCCCTCAAAATAATTTATATTTAACTTGATTGATATTTGTCTTCTTTTTTTAATTTTATTTTATCATTTTTGCATTTACTTACATGTGTAGACATTATTTGGGCCACCTCCTGCCTCCCCACACCTCCAGGCAGAACCTGTTCTGCCCTCTTGTTCTCCAATTTTGTTGAAGAAAAAATATCAAAGATAATAAAAAACATGGTGTTTTTTCTAGTTTGAGATAAGGATAGATCTACAGAGAGATTCCTTGTGTTGTTTCCATGCATATGTATGTTACAACCCACGTTGCATCTCTACCAGAACTCTTTCCTATTTCCTAGTCCCCTTCCTGTAGTGGCCTCTGCCAGTTTAAGATTATTACATTTGCTCTTCTACAGTGAGCACATCAACCCCATTCAAGTTTTTGGTTTTCTTCCCTTTCCCTATCCCTCCCTTTTTTTTTCATCCTCCTTTTATGTTATTTAGCTGTTGCTGATAATTTAGTCATGTGTTATTGCATTTTAAATATACCAAAGAAATCTTTTGAACATTTAGTTATTCAGTCAACTTGTCAAAAATGTGAATAAATTAAAACTTCCACAAGCTAAATACCAGAGCCTCTCCATCTTCCCTTCACCTTTGATTTAGATCATAAAATACAAGGAATAAATTTTAGTTTGAGAGAGGAGGTAACCCCTTCACTCAAACCTATGTGGGTTCATTAAAAGTTAAATTGATCAACAATATTCAGGAAAAAATTAGCATAATATAGCTGCTTTGGTTTTGATTTTGGGGAATCGCTTTAATTTATGATGGCCTTCAAGTAACCACCAGGCAAGACATCCCAGTGGTCACAGGCAGAAAATTGTATGGACTAAAAATGCTTACATCACAGGAGTTATTAAATCCATATAAAACACCCAGTGAGATAAGGAGAGCCACATATCACCCCAGAAATAACATTTCAAGTAAGCACCAAGCCTAGTGAAAGGACCACACTACCTGAATCCTGAATCATACTATTTTCATATCCTCCCCATCAGACTTTTCTACCTGTAATGTGGTCTTGAGGACCAGAGCTGAAGTTTTCCTAAATGAATCCACAGACCAAAATCAGAATATCGTGCCAAGGGCTCCAACTGGCTCTATAACAGAGATGCAAGGGCTGGTATACCTGGCCACGTCTGTGCTTCTCCAGTTAACTATGTGTTTTATTGGCCTTTTGTAGACAGAGCACATAGAAAGCCAGAATGAGACTATACTGGGTCCCCAATGGGTAACCAAATTTGGAGGTGACAGTTGTCTTCCCAGATATGACATGAGAATACTTTGTGTTTTCCATTCTTTTCCACATATGAATGTCACTTTTGTTTATTATATCACATTTTCATTCTATCTTTGGCGTGGCTTTCTGGTTAGTTGCATGTGCTTGTGTCTTATTTAATGTATCTCGTGAATTCTAGTCATGTCTAACCAAGCTACTTATTTGATCATCTACACTTTCCATATCTAAAAGCTTTGTCTGTACTGCATAGACTATGGTTTTGTGGCTATGGTTGTTGTTATTTGGAAAGAGAATAAGTAAATGGTCAAATGACAAGGACAACAGTGATCTCTTTAGAACAGCATTAACACTGTCTTTATTTAGTCTAGGTAAAAAGTCTTAACCAGCCTACTCAGCTACTTACCAGATGACTGGGTCAAGTCATTTAAACTTTCCTAGCCTCAGTTTTTGCTTCAACTCATACCTACCTACAATGCTTCTATAAGGACAGAAATAATACACAATCATCTCTTGTTATTCAAAGGGTATTGACTCCAGCACCTCCCTCAGATACCCACATCTCTGTATGCTAAATAAAATGACATCGTTTTTGCATATAACTTATACATCTCCTCCCACATATTTTAAATAATCTCTAGATTACTTATGCCTCATACAGCGTAAGTGCTGGGTATGTACTTGTCAGACTGAATAATAACAAAAGTGTCTACATGTCCAGTATAGATGCAGTTATTTTTCAAATATTTTCCACCTGCAGTTGATTGAACCTACATATGTGGAACCCACACATAGAGAAGGGGACTGTACAAAGACTGTCATGCTATACAAAATGCAAGAAGTACTGGCAGCTAGCTAACATTTGACCAACAATGAACTTCACAGTTGTTTGAGTATATTCTTTTACTTTACAAATATTTCTGGGTTTGGACCATTCTTCAGGACTAAAATTGAGATGTCAGTGTCTTCTTGTTGCCCTTTTATGGTTCCCCATCATTTCAGCTGGGATAAGTCAAAGACTATTAAAAACATTTGTTTTCAATATGTTCCAGAGCTGAAAGCATGAACTTTTAAGGATGTCTATATCTAGGACCTATTTGGTTTTCAACCACCTGTTGCTGTAATAAAAATTATTATTTTATTATATAAGTATATTTTTATTATATGACATTTTTCCACAGCAAAAGTGCAATTAGATCTCTTTTGAGATGTTCACCACATCACTATGTGTTACCACAATTATCACATTTACCTCCTTTTACTACTTATTCCTAATTTCCCTGATATTGTCACAAATAATTACCTAAATCAGCTTATTCTACTTCACAGTTCATTTTTATTGCATTGTCATTTCAAACACCTTCTTTTCTCATCCATTTTGCTCTATAAGACAAAAGTATACTAAAAAAAAAAGTTTGAAGAGGGCAGCATAACTCAGACTCTGTCTTGATAATCCTGGGACGTTTTCTAGATTTGAGTCTATCCTGCTTGGTATTTGTCCAAATACAGATCTATGCGTTTCTGTGCCATTGTCTAATGCAAATACACATATTAAGTCCACAATGCAATCAAAACAAATATAAATAGTATCTCTTGAATGGTCCTTGCTACTGCCTTTTTTTCTGCCTTAATGGCCAATTAAGCTATCTTTAGGGTTAAAGGTTTACATAAGAAATATTCTTATACATTTACATATTATACCTAAAGATATGCATAGTTAGGGAAATTATTAACAGTGGATCAAACAGCAGTGCTTCTCAAAACTTAATGTACACTCAGATCACCTGGGGATCTTGCTAAAATGCAGATTCTAAGTCAGTAGGTCTGGAGTTGGCAGAGTGTCCACATGTTAACAAGTTCCCAAGGAGGCCCAATGCTGTTGGTCCAAGAAGCACACTTTGGTAAGGAGGACCAGTGAAAACTATTAGTAATGACTCCTGTTACTAAACACCCAAAGTGATGTGTCTGTATGCCTCTAGTATGACACTGAACACTTGTTTCACCTAGCCTTGTGGTTATTTATGCTTAGCCTTCATTTTCCTTTCCAAGTGGTCAGCTCTTGTCAGCACAAAAGATCAGATTTATCATCATGCTTTCCCCTCACCTTCCAGCCTAACACCATGACTGGTACGTAGAGAGTCTTTGAATGAGTGAATGAAAATATTTATTTTACACAACTTTATAGTTATGTTGACAGAAAAAAATCCAAACTGGGCCATTTCTGTTTTTTAAAACCAAGACATCACTGGATTTTTGTTTAATTCTGTCATTCTTCCTTAGTAAAGTAGATTAGTCTCTGTAGAAGAATCCATTCTAGTTAAGTTGCTAGGTCCTAGTCATAAAACATGAAAAACAACCCTATTCATAGTAAAGATACTTCTTAATGAAGCTCCTCTCTTGGACCACTGAACATATCAACCAGTTAATAAAACAAAACTAAGTATTAAAAACAATGCAGGAAGGGAGACTATCAAATGGACTGACTCTAAGAAGAGGCAGTAAAAGCTGATATTTATAGGACTTTGAAGTCTGGGCCTTTCAAGGTAGGAAGCTGTGTTAGTTTTATATTGCTGTGTCAAATATTTGGGAAACAAGAAGATTAATTTTGGCCCATGGTATCAGAGGTTACAGTTTATGGTTGGTTGGCTCCATTGTTTCTGGGTCTGGGATGAGGCAGAACATCATTACAGAACAGCATGGTGGATCAGACCTGCTCCTCGCAAGGCAGCCAGCAAGCAGGGAGCATGATAAGGAGGGGCCTCCAAGGTCATGCCCCTGGTGATCTACATCCTCCAACATGTCCTCACCTCCAAAAGTTTTCATCACTTCCCTATGATGCATCAAATTATGAATCCTTAAGTAGATTGATCCATTGAATAGGTCAGACCCTTCATGATGCAATCACTTTTCAATGGTTGGGTCCACGAGCTGGGAATTAAGCCTTCAACACGTGTGCTTTTTGGGGGGGACACTTGATGTCTGAACCATAAGCAGAGCCAATTAGTATTGGGTATAGTTCATGATATTATACTTCAGGATCAGTGGGCACAGTAAGGTGAAAATTTTGAAACAAATCTTGTTAAATAATTTGTCTAATTGAAAGTTCTTCAGCTAAGGAGATAACTATCTCCAATAAACTGATTTGTAGAAACTTCCTGAAGTAAGGAACTAAGTCATGTTGATAGTAGTGGTCTATGCTCTCACCTAAATCTAGCCTCACAATGAGGCAGCCATTTTGCCTGTGCATGATCTCACATGCTTGAGTCACATTCATGACAGCAGGCTGTGATTACTGAACCAGTCGATGCGGCAGCCTTAACTTCTGATAGATTTTTCTTTCATAGACATTATTGAAATAGAATTCACGATAGAAATCTTACTTCTCAGAGACTGTTGCTGCTTAACAAAGATTTTATAGTACTCCTAACATCATAATTTTTAAATTTTTATTGGGTTTTGAATCCAACTTGTCAATAAAATTTTTATTTCAATACCCACTGCTAAATCCTTATATATTCAATGATCTATCTTGGTAGTAATGGTAATGAACATCACAGAAGTCACTCATTAAATGACTTTTCATAACATGCTACTGTTATGGAATAAATTTGTACAGAAATACTTCTGCTGAAGTTTGAATGTATATATTTCCTTGGGGGCTGTGAAGAGATCCCCTTTTCTCTGTCTCTGAAAAGAAAGTGATTCTGGATGACTTAAGTAAGAGAAAAAATTTTGGTGCAGATAAAATTTGAGCTGGACCTTGAAGAAAAGAAAACTTGATTCATATCAATAAAATAATAGGTCTTCTTGGTTTAGTTGGTGCCATAAAAATTAGATTAGACTTCAGATAACAAGTAGATAATTAAACTAGTTGATAACATGGTTTTTTACTTTTCAGTGTGTGGTTTTGACAGTTGTGAAGATGCCTCACAAATAATCAGATGTAATCTAGTATAATTTATAGTTATTGGTGTAGAAGACATTAAGCTATCTGGCTAGGTTTACCAACTATAGAAAATTTGTAAGAAAGTTATTGTGATTTTTAGAAGGAATATTTGGAGTGTTGATATTAAAAGGTAAAAAGAATGAGCTTTGCTGTTCTCTAGGTGTTTGTTTTCTTTCAAATCAAAGGCCAAGTTCACCCTATTTTAAATTCCCCAAATAAATTTTATATTTAATTGGGAATGCTAACTTTAAGATTTACCTTTCTTTGCATTTTTCCATTCAGAGGCCAAGTAGTCAACCAAAGAAGTGAAGAGCTAGAAGAATTTTCTAAATAAGCATATGGTCCAAATATTCTGGTCTTATGCCCACAAAATTCCATCTTTAATGATGTTAACACCTGCAGTGGATGAGAATCAGACCAATTGTATTTTGCCATTTTCTCTTGAATTTTAATATAAAATGAGAATGAAATTAACAAGCCAGTTGGGTAGTTGTAAGCCTTGGAGAAAACAATGGTTTATACTGATATTTTATAAGCCAAATGGGTCATACAAGCCAGTGAGCTTTTAAATTTGATCTGCTTCTAAAATATCAAAGGTCTGAATAGCAGCCAAGAAAGTAATTCAACATTTAACAGCATTCACAGCATTTAACATTAAAGAAGCAATACAGTGAATGCTATACAACAATTGCTATGTATAGAAGAGAGGCAAGGTAAAATAATGGTAATATAAATTTGAATCACATTAGAAATTTTTCTGACCCACTGTAAATATAAATGAAATGTGTTATCAATATCTCTTTTAAAGAGTAACAAAAAATTGAATAACAATCTAATCAAAATCAAAGACAACTACTGGTTTAAAATAGATTCTAAATGTGTTTTATGTTTTAAATCATTAAATTGGGTTACAAAAAATGTAGACTATTCCATTCACCTGATTTTCTGTTAATTATTTATACAAGAAGGCAATGTTCTTTATCAGAATCATTAGTGAGGCAGAGAAAGTGAGTATCGGCCAGGAAAGAATCTCTGTGCTCCCTCTCCTGTCCTTCTTGTTTAAAGCAGAGCTGTAATTCTGTTTGTTGGTAATACTGACATTTTCTCAGATGCTCTTATAATTTTAGGACTGTCTTTCCATTTTCTGTCTGTCCTGCAGACTTGAATCCCAAATGACGACAGATATTCAGACCATCTTACAGCTGCTGCAGAAACAAACTACTGTGGTCCCTCCAGCCTACAGTATGGTAACTGCAGGAGCAGAGTACCAGAGACCCATCCTCCATCTGATGAGAACCAGTCATCCCATAGCATCCATTAAGACTGACAGAAGCTTCAGCCCCTCCTCACAAGTGAGTGTAGGTACTATACAACCAAGAGTGTCTCTCAAAGTATGTTTCCAGGGACCACCAGTATAAGAATCTCCAAGGGATACTATGGAAAACACAGATTTCCATACAGTTTCCACTCAATTATAATATCTAGAAATATAATTGCAATTATGTAATTGCATTATTTTCCTTTAAAGTTTGAAAGAAATAGACCTGAAAAAATAATTTCAAACACTAGCATTTTTTAAATTTTATTTTATCATTTTTACATTCACTTACATGTGTTTACATTATTGGGGCCAATTCCCCCCATCCCTACCTCCAGGCAGAACCTGTCCCCCCCTCTTGTTCTCCAATTTTGTTGAAGAAAAAACATGTAAGATAAAAAAGAAAAACATAGAGTCTTTACTAGTTTGAGATGAAGATAGCTGTACAGGGAGATTCTTTGTATTGTTTCCAGGCATATGTGTATTACAACCCAAATTGGCTCATTGCTGCCAGACCTATTCGCTACTTCCTGGTCCCCTTCCCATAATGGCCTCTGCCAGATAAAGATTACTATGTTCGCTCCTATATAGTAAGCATATCAACCACATTCAAGTTCTTGGTAGATTGTCGATTATTTTCCTTTAGAATGATTTGAAAGAATAGGACCTAGAGATAAAAATGAATGTTCGAAAGCCACTGAGCATTTTTTAAATTTTTTTTTATCATGTTTTAGCATTCAGTTAAACCATGTGTTTACATTATTCAGGGGAGCCAATTCCCGCCATCGCTTCCTACCTCGTCAGGCTAGAACCTGGTCCCCTTCCTCTTGTTCTCGGTCAATTTTGTTGAAGAAAAAACATGTAAGATAAAGAATAGAAAAACAGTCAGAGTCTTTTACTAGTTTGAGATGAAGATAGCTGTTCGCGGGAGTAATGGTTATGGCAGGAGGATTACCTTGGTGATTTGTTTCAAGGCATATGTCGTATTACAACCCAAAATTGGCGTCATTGCTGCCAAGAGCCTATTTCCGCTGACTTCCTGTCCGCTTCCGCCATAATGGCCACGTATCTTTGCCAGAATAACCAGATCTACTATGTGTCGCTCCTATAATATAGTAGTAAGCATATCAACCACATTCAAGTTCTTGGTTTCCTTCTCTTTCCCTCTCCCTTCCGTGCTTTAGTGTGTGACCTGTGTCCATATTTAATATTATGTGGGCTACTTGTTTAGATCTAGGTAATCGCGCATAGGGTGAAGGGAAGAATGTGTTGATTTTTTGGGCCTTCTGGAGATCCTGCCTGACTTGCATTAAGATGGTATTGTTCCCGCAGTTCCATTCATTTTCCGGCGAATGGACAAAATTCTCATTCTTCTTTTG